GGCCGCGCGTGCAGGCGGCTCGAACGGACCCCTCGGCCTGCCCCCCCCCCACACCCCCCCCCCCCACCCCCCCCCCCCCCCACCCCCACACCCACCCCCACACCCACACCCACACCCACACCCACACCCACACCCACATCCACACCCACACCCACACCCACACCCACACACCCACACCCACACCCTTGATTGATTTTGTCGAAGACGAAATTATTTTTTAGAGGATTTCAATCTTTTAACGTCTTCACTCAAATTATCAAACGATCAAAAATTTGTTCTATAGAAATCTTGATGGTGAAATTTTACTAGATTCAATAAAATCACATTCAAACTAATAGATTAATGAAATCACACAACAAAATTGCTTAACACTTCCACCATTATTTTTGCGTCATGTGTGATTATAATTAAGTGTTCGACAATGATTGAAGTTTTGCTTTTTCATTGGATGCTTTAGATTTTCTTTTTTTCATCAAATAATTTCAATTTTTAAAGTGTAATACATTTTTTCTTGATTCACATTCTTAGAAGCATGCACTATAACATAGAACAAAACATTTTCGCCTTGGATTTTTTATGCGAATCAGGTTACAGTCTCTGCAACACATCCTTGGTATTTGATAACGGATAGGCACAAGTTCATTATTTCGAGAAAAGTTACTAAGAGGGGTGGGAATTTTATTTCAATTTCATGTGTACAATTGAGTGTTGTCTAATTACTGCAGTTCAAGTATTTTATTCCATTTTGAATAAGTTGAAAAAATGTTTTACGAAAAACGCTACCACTGATTGTGTACATATAAAATTGTATACAATTGGGAATATTTGCGAGTTGAATAACTAAAGCGAAAAGAAAAGCTTCCAGTGCTTTTTGATTTGCTGATTTTGGTTGATAGAATGTATGCGTCAAATAAAACTTTTGTCCTGCTAGTAGCAGAGAAAATGCAGTGAAAAGAGTAACTTGTACGATTAACATTATTGTCAGACTTCTTTCGTCTTTTCGAATTCCTCTACGAAGGAGGCCTGTTATAGCAATAGATATTGGTCCTACTTTTCGAGGTTGTCGAATATGACCAATGGTAAGCAAGCCTGCCACAAGCATTACTATTGATGGAGTGATTATTGAGACAAGTGCTTGAGTAAGATCACTGAAGACACGACAGGCATCAGACTTAGCATAGCATTTCTGTGGAGTTCCTACCATATTCGCATCAAAACAATAGGCAGATTGGATCCAAACTACGAATGAACCGATAAGGACAATTATGATCCAGCGATAGGTATTCTTCATATTACTCATTTGACGTCGATTAACATTTACAGATGAAACCAAATAACGATCAATCATGGCAAAAGCAATGAGCCATGCAGAACTTGCACGCATTGAAAGCACAACGACGATTCGCAGCTTACAGAAAACAGGTATCGTCTCAGTTTGGTCTGGAATCATGAACATGCTTTGAAGTACGCGAGGTGTAAGGCTCGATATAACACTGATCAGACTTGTTACACTAGCCACAAGAAAATAAATAACACATGGTTTGGATCGAAGTGCTGGTTGTACGAATACCAAACTGCTTAGTATATTTCCGACAATGGCAAACAACAGAAGACTGATTGACATGTACAAATTGACTTGGTTTGTAGCATATTGCATTGAAGCAATATAAGATATTGTTGCGTTATTGCTTGACATTTTTCAGATGAGCTGTTATTCTAGAAATCAAATTCATTATGCTATTGATTTAAAATATGGGGCTCTTTTGACACATCCAGAGAATGTGTGAAATTTTCGGACACTCTTCAGGAAAAACCAAACGAAACACGCTGTTTTTGTCAGTTCTTCTTCGTATTAATGATGCTGTTTAGTCTGAAACTGATATTCTACTCTCACAATATAAGACCACGATCTTGAATTACTGCAATTCCCATTACTCCTCTAAGATTGGCCTTCTATTCAGGAGAGTATTCGAATAACATTTCTATGGTAAATTTTTATCACTATTTTTAATAGTTACTAATTTTGTTTTTATGAAGGTGATGAAGAGAAAAGAGTAGAGAAGGAGAAAACAAGGATATTTTTAAGAGATGGAAATCTGCGTAGACAATTTTTTCAAAAGTGGTGAGTTTATAAACTTTTTTTTTCTATTTTACAATTTTTAAGGCCTCCTCCTCAAAAATCAGTATCAGCCGAGGTACGTTCGAATCGCATGAAATTTTCAGAATATGTTGAGACTGTATGGGAAAAGCTATGGTAAAAAGTTCAACATTATATCTTGATGTTTCAGTAAGATATTGAGCGAACAAGAGCCAAACATAGCACATTTGGCAAACAAAATCTGGCATGTGAACGCTATGTTCAGAAAAAGGAGGAATAGGCAGGATTTTTACTGAAAATTCTAAGGAGGATTTCTGTTTTCTCATGAAAAAGAAATTCTATCTAAATTCAAGCTCATTAGTACTTTGAAAAGAGTATAAAAAATACCTAATACAATTTCAACAAATGTTTATTTATAAATTGGTTCCATTAAGAGGCATTTAACGAGAATGTAGTTATTTAACAATAATTTTCTTGAAATGATTGAGCATAGTTTTTAATCGGCAGGAAATTTCCATATAGGAATATAATATATATATATGTTCTTAATATGTTACATCAAAAGATAATATAAGTATAATTTGTCAGAAGGAACAAAAAAGAAGAAAAGAAACAACGGAAAATATTGCATAATTATTATACACTGTTGTTTTTTGTTTCTTTTACTCCTTTCTCTTCTTTTGTGTTATTTCTAATTAATTTTAATTGAATTATCTTCCGGTGTTACACATTAAAAACATATATATATATGCAGGTGAATCTGATGTCTATTGTACCGTTTATATATTAAAAATGGACATGTTAATTTCTCAACTCCTGTGTGACATAAATGATTGAAATTCATAGCTAAGTATATGTCTATCATGTGCTATGTGTGCTGCTAAAATCAAGCTTCCACCTATTATGGTTCGCGATCAGGGTAGAAAATTAACTGGATTTTTATTGATTTTCTATG